TCTTCTATATCTAGTAGAAGTTGTCAAGCATCTACTGCAAAGTCACACATACCGTCAGATCGCTAAGGAACTTGGTTAAAGAAATGCAATTAGAAACACAGAAATGTCATGTCTTTAATATGTTTTTAAATAAGTTGACCGAAATAGAAAAAAATAATAAAATAATATAATAAAAAAAGTAGGAAACCTTTCAAAATTGTATCTAGTTTGCAACATAATTCTTAATCATTTTGTGTTTTAGGCACAGAATTTCTCTTTTCCAGTCTACTTAGCCTTTTTCTGCCAGTGCCTAAAGGCACCTATGCCTTTATTTACCAGTGGAAGAAGCATCATTCAAAGTAGATTTCTCACTGAGGCAAACACCAGTATAATTCTCCAGCCACCTTCTTGACTGGGGCTGGCACAGAAAATGAAGCCAAAGCTGCGTTCTACCCTAAAATTGCTGCCATAATGTCTGTTTAGCATAATTAGTAGCCAGAATAATTTAGAAAAGCATGCAGACTTTTTGAAAGCCTAGAATTTGGCCAAGAATGTTTCTGGAGTAGGACAAGAAGTTTGAGAATGCTACACAGTTAACTGTGAAGCCTGCTGCCAAGTTGAGTTGAGTGCATCTCAGTAGCTGATAACTGGAACCACTATAAACATTATAGACTCAACATGGAAATACAACAATATTCTGCAGATGGTTATAGTGTGAAGGAAATCAATCCTATTTAAAATAATTCTTAAATACTACATTCATCTGTGAAGGTTGGAATTTGTCTGTGCTATAACTTATGAGAAATTAATCTGACTCAAGACATGAACCTCATAGCACATATGCTACAATATGCCTTTGAATGTTCACGTAACGGCAGCAGCAGTAATGCACCTTTATTAAGAGCTCACAGAAAGCATTTTAAGAACAAATTAGAACATGTATCCTTTTTTTGGTGAGCTTGTCACTTTATGTACTAATATGTGAGGAATCTTTCTCCTCTAAAAGCAATGGTAACACCATCTTTGTGACTGTAGTAACCAACTACTATAACTTTCCCTAATTGTATAGCACTGAATACACAACCTTTTCTTTCACTGCTGTCTGAAGTATAGACTTTCTCCTTGATCCACAGTCTGTAAATTTAATATTCATGTTTTAACTGGAGCAGCTTCCAAACCCTACTCTGTAATGTTTTCAGAGCAATGACTCTCCAATGAAGATATACGCGTCAGCAGTCTATTCATATTTGTGTGGCAGAATGTAATGCCTGAATGGAAACTCTTCTCAAAAGCTAAGTAAAAGAAAAGTTCTTAATGTATTCCAGCCTCGTCAGATGATGGACACTATTCAACTCTTTGTTAGCAGAAAAACTCATGTCAATACTTTCCTAACTTGGAATCTTGACTGGTAACGGTATTTATTTTTAATTGGAAAGAAAATAAGTTGACTGGTTTCTGAAAGAAGTAACCGAAGAATAATACAAGATTTTTCCTCTAACAAGAACTAACTGAAAGCACCATTTCTACATTTTCATATACAAATTAGTAGGAGCTGATTCACCAGTCAAGAACTTGAAATCTTAATACCAGCATCTCGTACTGCCACCAGCCTGGGCTTTTAATGCAGTAGTACAAATGGTTGTTTTTGAATGTAATCTTATTATAGGAGTCTTACAAAGGAAATTTTTATGAGTTGCAGGATATATGATTCTTTCTCTAATTAGCTATATACTATTTTCCCAGGTTGCTGTTATTATTTAATATGCACGTATATCTAATGCACAATTAGAATAAGAATTGAAAGTAATCACTGTTAGGATGCCTATACATGAGTATGTAAGTATGTATACAGTTTTCAGTATATATATATATACACAGCATTCAGCAGACTATTACTCCAAACTGCAATGTCTCCAGTAGCAATCACTTTGACAGATTACAGGGTCAGTACAAACCAAAGATATGGAGGTTAAGAAGAGGAAATAGGACAGAGCAGTTGTTCAAAGACCATCTTAAAGTGATGGAATGAGTTCATGTAGTAGTATAGAGCAATAGTAATGTGCCATTATGCTATCCTATTATAGGCATTAAAGCACAGTAACCATAGTAAAGCAGAATAATACCATCTTGCTTTTTTACTTAAAGGATTTATGCAACATAAAAATACAGTTGAAAATGATTTGTGCTCGCAATAAAAGATAATAAATACTTTATTCATCCAGCACCATCCTTATAAGCATCTCAAACTCTTGGCAACATAAAATATTTTAAGCATCCCTGTTTCATAAGAAGTATAAATCTGTTTATTTTGCAGATGAGGAAACCAAGGCATGGATGAAGGCCATTATCATCGAGTCAGTTCATTTAAAGTTAAACACTTAGCATAGTAATAAAAGAGCTGCTTCATTTCTCTAGCTTTCAAAAACATATTGACCATCAGCTTTCCTGAAAAAAAATTGTGATGCATAGGTGTAAAGAAAGGAAATGTTACTTTTTTTACAATTTTAAAAAGAAGTATATATATTAAAATATATATGAATAAAGCCTTCTAACTGCTTGTGAAACATATGCTGTTTTGTAATGGACCGTTGACCAAGATTGAAAAGGGATTAAATATTGATTCAAATAACAGAAGTTTATAATATTTCAGATAAAGCCCCAGATATGTAATATGGCGCTCACTTCCTTGACTGCCTGAGACTAGGACAACATTTTTCCTGTTGTGCCCTGGTACTTTCATATGCAATTATTTTCAACTCTTCTTAAAAGATAAGGCCACCTTTCACTTAAGAAGATACTTGCTTTAAAGCATTATTTCAATCTTAAAATCCTATATTGAGTAGTTGTGTTCCTTCAATACACTGTTCCACAATGTCTGTGCGTCTAAGGAATTTGCATTCAAAGAACATATTTCCTGAAATTTTTCTTGAAATAAACACATTTTCTGGAGAGAAATTTGGAATTTTCTAATTTTTGAAGAGAAACCTACTTTTTAGTTATTTCAGTTTCAAAATATAATGTGTGTATGTGCTATTCAGACATTATGTATAGCTAGCAAGAAGATAAATTCATTTAAGAATAATCAGTGCTCTCTAGTTTGTATTGAACAATTTGCTTCTCAAGCAATGTTTTACCTAGATTTGAAAATATTCTAACATATGGCATACAAAAGGAGTCAAGTAGAGTCGGAAAAGTATAGATATTTTAGGGCATTATTACAATTTCAGCAACATATTTATCTCTTTAATGTTGACAACATCATAAATCAAGTAACGAAGGAAGAACATCAATCTTTTCCAAAATTCAAGCTTTAAACAGAACACAGATATCAAGATGCTAATTCACCTCTCAAAATTCATAGTGAAATAACAAATGCATCAGCTAAAGAATTGATAAACATTGAGATTAAAACAATTTTTATGTATCAGTAAAGCACTGATTATTTTCTCACTGGTACATAACCGTGTTCATGACTTGGGGGTCTATTTTGAAAGAAAATAAGCAAAAGAAGGCAGAACGGTTTATGTCTCTTTACTTCTTCCTGAGCTTCCTCTCATTTTGATTCATTTCCCTACCACAACCTATTTCTCAACCACTTCATAACAGAGTTCATTATAGGTTCATAACCCAGTTCATGATGCACTATATAGCATATAGCATGTGGTGTCTCCTATTCTTTTACAAGAAAATTCACCCAGTCTGTCACTGTTTAATGTTTCTCTGCTGTAATATCTTTATTTCTTGTGCTGATGAATGTAACTGTGACCATTCATCAACAGCCAGAAGGCAGTTATTTTATTTACTCAACCATTTACTTATTCCTTTTCTTGACCTTTTACTTTTCTCTTCACTTCTTTTTTTTCCATTCACCCGCATATGAACCAGGTCACTTTCCCAGCTCTCACTGTCTGCATCCTATCTATTCTCATATAGTAACTTACTCCATGATTGTCAGCATGCATTTCCAGATCATACTGCTCAGTAATGGAGTATCATCACATCTTTCTGAATTATCTACATACTACTGCCCACCTCATTTACAAATAAGCTTTCGTTTTTTCATGTAACTATTTGTATATAGATAAAATTAATTTGAAAAATCTGCAATATCAATCGACTAATGCATAAACATTCCTTACTGTAATTTTTGATTCAGTTACTTAATGAAAACTTTTTGGTAAGATTGTTTTCTAGAGCCAAATAGTATTGATGCTTGCAAGATGGCCTTACTAGGTTCTATTTCTTTCCCATAGAGGAGTAAAAAAAAACAAAACAAAACAAAAAAAAAAAAAAAAAAAACAAAAAGAAAAACAACCCCAAAAAACAAAAACCCCACAAAACTTCACAATTCCAACTGGAATTCATATTTCTTCTAGGCAGACAGATTTTTTTGTTTTGATATTGACACAGTGAAGAGCAAAATCTCATTTAATCTCCCCTAGAACTCACTTCTTATAGCTCAGTCAGTTTGTTTTCATGGTGCTTGGTCTCATCAAGGTGGATTTGGGCCCACTTAGGTATCTTATTGATGAACTGTAAGGGCTGCTCTGAAAGCAATGCCTCCCATTTTATTACGTTGGTCTACAACATCAGAAGCAGATCTCAGAGATAGAGATTGAACTTTCCTACCAATATTCCATTAAATTTTGTTGCCATGTGACAGATGGCAGCAGAGGAACAGTCTGACAAAATGGTGTGTGACATAGAAGAGCACATGAAGCAAAGATGCATCATTGAATTCATCCATGTGGAAAAAAAATGGCACTCACTGACATTCATCAATGTTTGCTGAACAGTTATGGAAATCAAACTGTGGATGTCAGCATAGTGAGGCAGTGGGTGGTACGTCTTAGCAGAGGCAACATCATGAAAGACAAATCATGTTCTGGATGGCCACACACAGCTGTGTCACCATTAAATGAAAAGTATCTTGATCAGCTCATCCCTGTGAATTGACTAATGGTGGCGATTATTTTGAAAAATGGTGTTACATAGCTGAGAATTGGCTCTATCAAATAGTGTTCTTGTGCTCTTGTATTTTTTTTTTTCATTTTTTTTTTTTCATTTTTTTTTTTTTTTTTTCCCCAAGGCAATAAACAGAATGCATTACTTTTGGAGTGAACTTGCTACTGTTTTCTAATTATCGTCCTCATCCTCATGACACATACCCATCAGATTTGATAAAATAACGTTCTTCACAACAGCAATTTGAGAGAACAAAACACTGGGGACTGTACTGATTTCTGTTCTCAGCATGTTGAGCATGTGCTGGAAGCCCCTATAACAGTTACTTCTCTACATACCATACCATACCATACAATTCAAGCAAGTTAGATCAAAGGTAGAGTTTGTCAAGTAAGTAATTTGCAAAATTAAATAGAATAACTGGGATATACACAAAAGTATTTTCTTTTTTAAAAAATTAAGACATTCTGTAAAATACCAAGGAGAATTTCATAATAGGAGCAGAGGTAAATTAGCATACTTAGCAGAGACATTTACACAGAAACACAAAGTTTTAACTGAAGCTACAAATATATGCCTCAACTACAAGCCTGCATGACATAAATGACACGTACCAGGACAAATGTGAGAAACATTTTATGCAGTACGCAAGCATGAGCATAAAATGATTACAGCTCACAGGAAAACTTATGATCCATTGATTTTGCTTGAATAATTTAACTTACGTTAAACACTTCAAATCAGGGATAACTTAAAAAGTTATCGTAAAGTATCTTTACGATATCGTTAAGTAAAAACTTAAAAAAAATGTTTTATTAAAAGTCATGTCTAAAGAACACAATAACATATCAGTAAAACACATGTATCAAAACAACAATCTTTGCTCCAACATTTGCTTTTTCTCCTTAAGTGCTATCAAAAAGTGACCACAAGTAAACAACAAGGATAGAAATTGGATAAAAACAAACAAGAAAGCAAGGTGATGAGGCTATAGTTTTCTGAGGTTGCACATAAATTGATGGAGAAGGATACTTCTGAGAGCTCAGGTCTGGATTTTATTGTTAAGATGCCCCACTATTTTAAATACACAGCACATCAACTTCGATACTGGGAAGAAAAACCAACAATCTGGGCCATGAAGAAGTTGCAGTAGGAATTCCTCTGGCATGCCATCCAATAGAAGAACTAGTTGGGCACCTATCACTTCAACATATATACAAATCAAGCATATAATTTTGCCCATATAATCATTTTTCTGTTGATATTTTTCAATTTCTCCAATCCAAACTAACTGGAATCAATATCTTCAAGCAAAAATATAATGAGGCATTACTTAGTATTCTAATAAAATATTCACATTTCAATCATTTAGCAGTTATTCTTCATTAAATATCAACAATCTGCAGAGTGCTCCAATAGATATATAATGCCATTATATGATCATCTGCTCAAGAATTCTGAGAGAAGAGTGACTCAGAATTTGCTGAATTATTACTAATTAGAATTACTGCTAGTATATAGCACTTAGATACCACTTTGTTGTGGCTCAACCCAGCAGGCAACTAAGCACCACACAACTGCTTGTTCACATCCCCCTTCCTCAGCAAAAAAAAAACAAACCAAAACAAAAACAAACAAACAAACAAAAAAACCCACCAACTTGAAACACAACAAACAAAATTTACGGACAAAAGTAAAAGCTACTTACTAAGACAGAAAAAGAAAATAGAAACAGAAACATGATTAGAACTACATACATACATCTGCAATATGATTACTCACCATCAGCCAACTGATATCCACCTAGTAAAACAAACAACTACATATTGCTGCTCTGCTAATAATCTCTCTACCTGTCAACTAACAACTGATCCCCAAACAGTAATACCCTTGGCCAACTCCCTATGGCTTTATAGCCTTCCTCACACCTAGTATGGAATAACTCCCTGCCTAATTCAGGCCACCTGTCCTGGCCCTGCCCCACCCCTGCTGCTGTGCTATAAAGGCAGTGGGTCACCCCCTAGCCCCAGGCATATTCTCATTGTTCAGTACTGGCTGAGCATATGTTAGTATGTTATTAACTTCAGGATATGGTTTTACATGCTATATTTTTAACACATTCTGTACCACGTTGATGCGTGAGCAGTGGGAACCTAAAAAGAACAGTTGGATGAATATCAAAAAACTGAAACTAAATAGACTATAAATAATTTAATGAGAACATTTTATACCAATATGCCTTTTAATTTTTTTTTTTTTAACTTGTATTTGGCCTCTTATCAACACGTAAATTCATTTAATTCTTGAACAATAAATTTATAAAACTTATGTTTATGTGCATATTTCAATGCAGGCTGAGATTGTCAGAAGTAACAGCTAATCTTCTTTATGTAGCAGGGTGCTGAGTAGGCTTAAAAGTCTTGCTTCTAGAATGCAATGTAATTATAAGACATGATTACAACTGATTATAATCAATCAGCATAGTCTTAAGTGTAATTTATATTGCTGCAGCTGTGGTTAGATTAAATCATCATATAAAATACAATTTCTCCCAGATAAGTAAAATTATTTGAACAAACCCAAATACAGTAAACTCATAATGCCATAAATATAGTGTAAAAGATGTCAATTACATAATGATCTGGGGCTTTGTGTACCACAAAATAACTTTCCCCACGCAGAGGATATTTCTGATTCAATACACTGAACTGTCCTTTTGTTGTAGTGACAGGACAATCTTTCTGGCCTTCTGAACTGTTCCTTACATCACCTGTCAAGTATAATGTGTCACTACCAGCACCAGAACTACCATAGGTAGCATGAGCTCTTTGAAACAGTAATAGAAGCTAGCTATAGGGGTTCACCGAACAACATGTTTTGGTAGGATAAGACCCATGCTGGCTGTCAAAAACTGCTGAGTTCTTGTTGCAAATCTGCTAAATGGCTTTGTTGATTTTCTACCCTCCATCTGGAAGTCCATGCTGCAGCTGGGAAGCATAACTGCAGAGATGCATCAGCCAGCTTTGCTGCAGTTTGTCTGGAGCCTCAGCAGCTATCCAGGCAGACACGGTTGAGGGTGCGCTGCAGTGGGCTGCCTGGTTCATGGCCAAAAGTACAGAGCGTGAGTCACTGTGGCTGTGTTGCTCTCTGTACCCAAACATCTTTTGACTGTCTGTTTTTCAGTTCTATTTCTGATCTTGGTGAAGCATTGACCTCACTTTTCAATTTTCAAAGTGGCAATAATAATGCCTTCTTAAGAGACATGTGCTGAGGGTTAATAGAACAGTTTCTCCCTTCTTTCATTTTTCCACATATTTTTAGGTCAAAAAATTCTCTCCAAAGAATACCTTGTCTTGGAATCTGAGCTTAGCAAAACTACATTTAAAGTTATAAGAATGTTATATACGTATATATACACACACGTATATAAAGACTCACTCACTGTTATTTATAAATACATTATAGCTTTTGGCTTTAATGCAGGGAGACAATAATAAACTGTTTCCTGAATGAATGGTAGAGTCTGAAATTTACAATTGTTTAAATAACTGGTGCTCAGGAAAAGCACTTCGCTGCTAATGCCTAAGATTCTGAATTCTTCTTTGCAACTCACTTTGCTCAGTTCACAGTGAGATTGAAATGAAAGTGTTGTTCTGCAGATAAACCTGATTCAGATGTACCTAAATTAAAGTACATTTCCCCAAAACTTTTCTCAGTGAAAAGTCAAAGCACAACTGCTACCATTATGGATAAATAAATAAGTAAATAAACAAACAAAGAAATATATAAAATTCAGGCTTTCAGTAGGAGAACATTTACTTGTGCACTTTCCTCCAGAACTAACATATCACATATCATCTGAGGAAAATTGTAGAGCAATAGGTTAGTTAAGATATAATCCAACCAGCTATTAACATTAAGATATTTAATAGTTGGGTATGAACTCTAAATTTCTCTAGCAATTAAGTTATTTGAAAATAGATGACTATTCTTGAAATTGTGATACCTCATTAAGAACATGTACCCTAATTTTTCATGTTTAATGAAGGCGCATTGAAAGACAGTTTACAAAAGCATGTGTTTAATAACCTGAAAACTGAGCCCATTATAGAAGTATACAGAGACTGTGAACTGTGAAAGATATAAAATTGTATAAAAATATATATAATGTACATATATATTTTTTAAACATCATAGTTCATAAACTGGAAGCATATTTCCTCTGTGTCAGTAATCTCTTTGTCTACATAAGCTTATCATTGACATCATTTTTTTATGGGTTTGATCTTCACAGTGAATTAATGTGCCAAAGAATAATTTTCTTTTAAACTTAGTGAATGCTTTAATTCTCTGCTATTCTATTTTAATTCTTACATAACATTTTCTAGAATAGTATCTGAGAGTAGCAGAATTGTTGCTAGATGCAGAGAAAATATCTGTTTGACATACCTGTTAAAATCTTTAATATTGAAGAAAAAAATAATAATTAGAATGTATGTCCCTAAACTAAAACTGCTTTCAAAATAACAAAATGTTATTCAAAAATATAGTAAATAAAAAATTAATCTGTGTGTTCAAGTATGAATGATTTGTACTCAAACAGTATTTTTCATTCAGATGAAGTATCATTCTAAATTCCACTAATTTTATGACCACCAGCCTCCCAGTATGATCATGTTTTATAGTTTAAATATTTTTTAACCTATCACTTTCAAACCCAAATGCCTAAATATGTTTATTTTTAATTTAACTACACTGTACCAAATGTGGCATAATTTCAACATTTAAATTTGAGTGTTCTTCAAATTTCCAGTTATAAAAGTTGTTTTTCTTATTCAGTAATGAGTCTGTGTTTGAGCCAAGCAGCTGCATATGAAGGCTGCCAGAGTTCCTCTTCACACACTTTTCAGTTAGCTAACTTTAATTACTTTAGGTATGGAAAAATCTATTTTACTTTTTTAAAAGGAGAGGTCAAAATAATGTCAGCCCATAGACAGATCCCTTACATATGTAAATACTTTTTGATATTTTGTATTTTTAATATTTATGGTTTTTGTTTACTTTAATAGCCTAAACATACACAAATTCAAAAATGTTTCTCAGTTCCTATGAAAGTTATTTCTAATCTCTTTACCTGTGATTTTAAAATGAATTCTGGTCCAAATAAAGAACTTTGAAGTACATACTCCAAATAGTCTCTTAGAACTATACATTTATCAAGAGTTGTAAACTATGCATTTTTGAGACAGGGATAAACTCAAATTCTAAGGCATATGAGTTTTGAAGTTATGTAGGTAGGTAGGAATGCACCTACACTGTTAGGAACAGCTTCTAAAACAACTGTCAAGCATGATGCATAAGCAGTCATGGGTGCTCTACTGATAAAAATGGTAATGCTAAGACTAAAACATGTAGGAATAGCCTGTTTGCTTACTTTCATAATTACCCTTTTGAATCTTCAGTTGCCAAAAAACCTATGAAATTCCTTATAAAGAATTGTATTGCTGACTTGGAGCTGGATTTATCTGTTGACTAACGATGCTAAAATATTTATAAAAATTCAGCCAGGAAGCAACATTCATTAAATCTATTTGTAATTAATCAACCAATTCTTTAGATGGGGATATATTTAGTAAGGCTGTTCATTAAGCTGCCTGTTTTTATTTTATTTCATTTTGTATTGTTTCTAAATAGCTCAAATCCACCATTTAAAAACTTAATGAATCTCAGATATGGGTTTTCCTGCTGTAATTATAATAATGATATAAAATAGATTTTTCCCCTTAAAGCATTAATATTCTGAGTGAAATTCAGAAGCTCATTTCTGAAGTACTCAAAAATTGACTACAGTAGATGGTTAGTGAATTTTAATCTTAATATTCTTACTTTGCTTATTAGAAAGAAATAAATGCCTAATAATAACATTCACAGCGCATTAACTCAGAAGTTTCTTTTCTAAATGAATAAAAAAAGATCAGAAAATATTTATTCATGATGTTTAAAAAGGATAAATGATAAATGTTGAAACAACAATAACAAAGAAGGAGAATATACTTTTAAAGTTGTTGAAATACTCTATACTAAAAGTACATCTTCAGTAATCTTAAAAAAATACTCCTATTTATCCACAAAATTCAGAATGTCCCTACTTATTAATTATATGAAAACTACATTAATTATCTTTTCTCAATCATCTGAACAGTTTCAGTGTCCGGTATGGCATTTAGATAATGAACACAGGATTTAAATGCCATCACTAATACACAAATGGATTATTTTTTTTATTATGTGCTTAAATACCTAATATTCAGTGAGACTTAGAATCTTAAAAACAACAGGACATATGTATTATCAATATCCTTTGAGTCAGATGCAGAAGAAGCTGTCTCGAACAGTAATAGCAGTTACCACCTTAATACCAGTTACTAAAGCAGTAGATATTCTGGTTTGTAAAGCCTGATCCGAAGACTCTTTGCATTGGATCAACCCTGTGCTAAACACAAAAAAAAAATTTATCAGGCCATTATACTCAATTATCTTCAGAAAACTGATCAGGAACAGAAATTATAAAAGCCCTATCTTTGTTGTTGTACATAGTATCGTTGTTGTTGTTGTTCCCAAGAACTGCTAACAAGTAGGAATACTGTGGTACTGTGGTAGAAATACCTGGTACTTTGGAATCCCCCTTCCTCTCCTCTTTATCTAGTGAGGATGTATCAAGCTGTAGCTCAATATGTAGAAAGTTCTGTTATAATCACCATTCCAGATCATGACCCTTCATGTAAATCTGGTCATACCTCAGTGAATTAACTGTGACTTTGAGTACTTACAATGATCTACTTGGTGTGGAGAGCTGCAAATCAGTGGGCTTTTTGTTATTTTAAATAGTTATG